GAGGGTATATATATATATATATACAGAGAGAGAGAGAGAGAGAGAGAGAGAGAGAGAGAGAGAGAGAGAGAGAGAGAGAGAGAGAGAGAGAGAGAGAGAGAGAGAGAGAGGATTTGCTCAGGGTAGCTCCATGTTATGCTCTTGTTGGCAATCGATTTGTCACATCTTGAAATTGTTCTTTTGCATGGATGGAGTCGCACTGTGCTGTTTGGATTTGATCTTTGTTGAAAGTCCCACTTGTACATTTTTTCCTTCCTGTTTGTTGTCAATGAAGCTGCACGTGGCCCACTTGTCATAATTCAATATCAATTTTTGGTTCGATGCAGGTTTGGAGACAGGGATCTGGATTTACGGCTGGCAAATCCTGGTCATTTGCGGAGAGTGTTGGAAGACAAGCGGTTTGGAAAGAGCAGAATTGTTCTTCTTCATGCATCATATCCGTACATGCGGGAAGCTGGGTATTTGGCAAGTGTATATCCTCAGGTAGGGACGGCGCTTTCCGCTGCACTTGATCGGTTATACTGTTGTTTGGAGATTATGCTGGACACACTACTTTTTTGGAATAAACAGCAGAAATATTCTTTGCAAATGAAAGAAGCTTCCTAGCTCCCTGAGCTCAGTTTGAACTTTGAAGCACATTGCAATGGATGTGTTAGGTGCGCCGAAACTCCATGAGTTGGATTTTGGACTTTGCGACACCTTCCCAGCTCAAAATAATCTTCTACGCTGCTTACTCTTTCTCTGAAGTTTGTTAATATTTGTTCTTTTGAAGTTTCTGGTGCATGTGCATCATGTGTGGTTCACGAATGTGGTGCGGGCTCTGCACTGCAACATGTGTGCTTTGGACACATTGACTTCAAAATTCAAATAGGACTTGGACTGAAAGCGACCGTCACTAAGGATCTGTTTTTTTCTTTCAAAAGGGCGACAGCCTTGAGATTTCATCATCGAACTAACTGACCGTAGATAATTCAGAATTATTGTATGACACTCATCTGGATTCGAACTCGGGTCTGTACTTGTACAGTTCATTGGTGTAACAACTGAGCTCGGCCCGTTGGAGTCGCTAAGGATCTTAGTTGAAGTGGAAAGAGAGTACTTCCAACAGAAAGTGATGGCGCAACGATCTGGACTAAAATATGATAGAAGTTGTGTACTGACTGCCCTAGCTCAGTTGCTACACCCGTGAACTGTTGAAATACAGAATTGTTGAAATATAGACCTGAGTTCAAACTTCAGTGGAAGCAGATGTGTATAATATTACAACTCTGAATTACCTACGGGCCGGTCAGTTTGATGATGATATCACAAGGCCGTCGCCCTTTTAAAAAGGATAGGAGTCTGCGCCAGTGTTGGGCCGGCAAGCGGCTGGTTGGACCGGCCCGGACGCAACTGGGCTGGATCGAGCCAGGTCCTCCAACCGGAATTCCGGTTGGGCTCAAAACCGGCCCTTCTTCTTTTTTTTTTTGAACACAAGTTCAAGTGCACTCGCCGAGAACAGTCAGAATCCGCAAAGAAAACTGTGAACTCAAAACTTTTATCTGGGTAAGGGGGGGGGCGGTTGGGGGCGGGGTATGGTGGTGGGGGGGGTGGGGTGTTAGAAACTGTTGCAGCTGCTCTGGTCCGACCACCTCCCTGCAAAGTGCTGCCCGCCATGGCTCTCTCTCTCTCTCCCTCTCTCTCTGAAGAAGCAGCGAAGAAGGAGAGCAAAAAACAGCCAACTGTGGCTATGGCAACAAGCTGGAAGAGAAGAAGAAGAAGAAGAAGAAGAAGAAGAAGAAGAAGAAGTGGTGCTAAAGATTACCAGAAGAAAGAAAAAAAGAAAAGAAACAATGCTATGGCAGCTATGAAGCTATGGGCCTATGGCTATGGCTGAGAGGGCAGGGGGTCTGGACGGTGAAGAAGAAGATGAGGAGGAGAAGAAGAGGAGGCTGAGGAGTAGTAGTAGTAGTAGAAGAAGAAGTAGAAGAAGAAGAAGAAGAAGAAGAAGAAGAAGAAGAAGAAAGAAACAGGGACTGTGGCTAAGGTGACCGGTGGGGTGAAGAAGAAGAAGATGAAGGTGTACGAGAAGATGAAGAAGAAGAAGAAGAAGAAGAAGAAGAAGAAGAAGAAGAAGCAAAAGGCTGCTGTCGCTATGGCTACCAGAAGGGGAAGAAGGGAAACACCAGGAGAGGAAGAGGAAGGAAATGAAGAGGAGAGGAGGAAGAAGACATGGAGGAGGAGAAGAAGAGTAGGACGCGAAGGAGGGGTATGGGTATGTGTGACGACAGGGGGTGGGGTTGGTGTCGGAGATGACGGGCGAGGTTGACTTTCCGTAGTTTTCTCTGAAAAAAAAACAATGAAGGGGAGCAGAGGAGGAAAATATAAGATGCGGAGAGGAGGATGATGAAAAAGAGGAGGAGGAGGAGAGGAACAAGAGGAAGGGTTTTAGGGGTTTAGGGGAACAGATAAAATGGGAAAAAGGGATATCACGCCCCATGGGCAGGACAGATGAGTGGGGAGGACACGGGCAGACAACGACAAAGGAGGATCTCTTTCTAGGTGACATAGCACTATCTGACAGATCTGGCCTCCAGATCTGAGAGGAAAGAGGGGGACATGGCAAGCTGACAGTCAATCCTCCACCAAGGTGGAGCAATCAATGCTGATCAGGGGTCCTTCGGCCAAATGGAAGGAAGCGTGGTTAATTTTCAATGTAATGAGCATTCTGACTTGCCGGTGGAATAGGAACCGGACTGATGCTCCCCAGAATAGAAGGAGCCAGGACCGTAAGGCCCCGTTTGAAAAAAAAAAAAAAAAAAAAAAAGGGTCTATTAATAAGAATTAGGAAGACTTACTAGTCTGTTGTGGGGCTTTTGGCAGTCGGTACTTTGTACATCGCAGCTGCACGACACGTGAACTGGAGTGGTGACAGCTTCAGAATTGGACACGACAGACATAGCCAGACCCTCAAAGTGTCGGCCATAGCTGGGTCCTTCGCTGTTCTTTGGCAGCACGTGGGGCTGCTCAGAGGTCTGGGCTACCTGTGGTCTGCTGGGAGCATGAGAAGTTGGTGCCCTTTCGAACCCTCCTCAGGAGTAGGGTTCAGGGTAGTGGGCTGCAGCCATAGCTGCAGCTTACATCCTCAGAGATCTGCTTTGTCAGGAAAGGTGGCGCTGCTGCAGATCTTCATCAGGGAAGCCATCTGACACTTCATCTTCAGCAGAGACTGTGGCGCTGGTCTTCTTCTTCATCCTCTGAGAGGCGCTGGGCCTCAGAGGCCTGTTTCAGGGTGGTGCCTCCCTCTGAAGGCAGTATATGTGTTGCGCTGGTTGTTTCCTGGGTTCTGGGGTAGTTGATAGCGGTTACCCAGCGTTGGGAGAGAAGTGCTGCTCCTTTCAGAGAAGCACACCATGGTTCTGTGACTACTCTGGCAAAACAATTCTCTGAGTTTAATATTAAAAAAAAAAGATGTAAGAGAACTATCTTTGCTTCATTGTTTTCCTGGATGNTGCTTCATTGTTTTCCTGGATGTGATCTACTTGGCTTTCCTTTGTGACTGGTTGTGGGGACTCTGTGGAGCGAATTGCACTTTCAGTGTATTCTGGCTATGGTTACCAGAAGGGGAAGAAGGGAAACACCAGGAGAGGAGGAACGAAATGAAGAGGAGAGGAGGAATAACTTGAAGAAGAGGAGGAAAAAAACAAGAGGAAGGGGAGAAGAACAAGACAGGGAGGAGGAGAAGAAAAGTAGGAGGTGGAGGAGAGGGAGGGGTTTGCGTGACGACGGGGGGTGGGGGTGGGGGTGGTGTAAATAGGCGAGGTGTAACAAGGCAGAGACAGGGCAGCGAGGCTGGGTGAGGGAGGGAGAGTGAGAGAGCACACACACACACGTACTCAACTCGGCGAAGACTCGACACGACTTGACGGACACAGACACAAAGTGGCAAAGTGGCAAAGTGGCAAAGTGGCAAAGTCACAGTCTTGGATTCGTGAACACAATGTCGAAGCATAGTCACACTGAACACAAGCAATGAGGCTGAAAACTGGTTGCCCGTACTGGGCTTGAGTCTGGTCTTAAGTACCGGACTCAAGTTCAGTCCCGAGGGCAGAAGTGCAAATTGCCTCAAGGCTGAACTGAAAATCGAAGGTCTGAATCTGGGCGCCAGAATGATGGATGGCTCCAAGTATTGCTGTGACCTACTGGGCTAGCTCCTATCACAACAGTGATAGGAGCAGCTCTTCTCTAAGAAGAGCCCGCTCAGTTGCTATCCCCCCCTATCTGTGGCCTTTTCAGGCTCTACCAGCCTGAGGCCTCGCAGGCTCCTCCCACCTGTGGTCTACCGGCTTACCTGCCCGTGGCCTACCCATACTGGTTAGCCGCATGACCGGCAGTTTGATTGGACGTCTAGCCGGGTAGGCCCCGGCATCAGCCTTTTGGCCCCCAGGTTTGAAGTCAAGCCCCGCGGCCTTAATAAATAATAACAAAACTTCTTATTCCTTCTGTGTCGTGACCCTATACCCAGCACAACCCTCTTCTTAGCCCATTTAGGCCCTGAATTAGCAGCTGCGCGACATTATTATAGGTAGGATAGGTTTAATTTTAGCATTCCCTTATCCGCACGTTCCTGCGGCTTTGACAAACGCGTAGCATTGCCGTTCACACCTGTTACCCCCGGACGCCACATGCGTCTAGATTAAAGTCTGAAAACTTTTTGTCTCTCAGTCGTAGGTCAGGTCTGAATAACTTTTTGGCAACCTTTAGTCTCATCAAGTCTTTCAAATCAACGAAAAGGTCAGACAACGTCCGACGTTAAAAACCCCGGCAAATACCCTTGTCAGGGTTCTTGCCCCGACAACGGTTCTCAGCCATTCTCATTTTCTCAGTGCGACATGTCGGCAATCACTCAAATGTTCAGGGATGCTGGACCCGATTTCCAGCAGGTGCTGCTCCCCACCAATAGATGGAGCCTCCCCGGTGATACTAGTGGTGTCTGCTCGTACAAGCACCCCTAGCATTGAACCAGGTTGTTGAAAAAAAAAAAAAAAAAAAAAAAAAAAAAAAAAAAGGAGAAAAGGAGAAGAAGGGGAGAAAAGAAAGAAAATGATAAAAAAAACAAAATGTTGTCGGTCGCTTACCTGTGCGGCTGCGCCGGGATCTGTGACGTGGCAGCGGCGACGAGGTAGCGAGGCACTCATGTGGTAGTGGTGCCGACGACCAGCGGCAATGGCGATGACGTGGCGGCACCGACGAGGATGATGACGATGTCGATGACAAGGCGGCCACGAAGACGATGATGATGATGGCGACTTGTAGCGGTGGCTGCTCTGCGCCGATTAGGGAGGGCGGAAGGGCGGGAGGGTGATCGACGCCGCTCCGATACCAGTGTAACACGGAGACAGGGCAGCGAGGCTGGGTGAGGGAGGGAGAGTGAGAGCACACACACACGCTCACAACTTGACGCAGACTCGACACGACTTGACGGACGCAGATGCAAAGTGGCA